GCACACTTGACAGTCGAGCACTTGAAATATGGCTAATAAGACCGTAAAACTAGATTTTTTTATTTTATTTCATTGTAATTTAAGTAACCACATGTACTAGATGGTTATCATATTAGACAGTGGAACTCTAGCGTATATATAATGACTAGGAGATAAAAATTTACGTTCTAAGAACTCAGAGATGGCTGTGTCCCTAGTAATGTAGCTTTGAACAAGTCATATTACTTTTCTCAAGCTCAGTTTCTTCCTCTGTAAAATGAATATATAGAGTAGACTGTTACTATTGCTTACAGCAATACAATTCTTTGACTTTGTGTAAGAAAACTACTTTTTTTAATGCATTACTGATAACATGTTCTCTATTCATTAAATCATTCACCAATGAGTACTGTGGCAGACCATGGGCTTAGCATGTATGAGGTCTTAGGTTCAATTCCTAGAACTGAAAAAAAATGTTTTTTTCAATGATGAAAGTGATAATGTGTAATTCCTATACAAACACTGTTCTTAAAAGTTCTTACTGGAGTCCAAAATTAAAAACAAGTGCATATTCATAGTTCTTTCTTGTGTATGTGTGTGCTTGTGTGTGTGTGTGTGTGTGTGTGTGTTTGTGTGCGTGTGTGTGTGTGTGTGTGTGTGTGTGCACGAGCTAGTCCTTGAATTCAGGGCCTGGGTGCTGTCCCTTAGCTTTTTCAGTCAAGGCTTGAACTCGACCACTTGAGCCACAGCTCCACTTCTAGCTTTTTGTTGGTTAACCAGAGATAAGAGTTTCATGGAATTCCCTGCCAGGCTGGCTTCAAACTGTTATCCTCAGATCTCAGATCTCAGCTTCCTGAGCAGCTAAGAGACTACAGGCCTTAAGCCATTGGCACCTGGGTTCTCTTGTGCTTTTATAGCATTTATTTATTATTTTCATTTATATACTAGGGGTTGAGATTGACTGTACATGCTAAGAATGTGTTCTAGCACTCAAATGTACCCTAGCCCCATTTACTCTTTTAAACTGGCATTTTAATTATTTATATTAGTTGGTCTTAATATTTGGTAACTAGTTTTTGTTTTTAAACTTACAGTTGAGTAAAAAGATGAATAGGTGGAGCTTTTATGTGTCTTACCTAATTGCATATTAAGCAGGTCTGAAGAGATACGATCTTCCAAGCACATTCCAAAAATGCACAAAGCTAACCATGGATCTAAAACAATGTGTTTTATTTCATTTTTTCATTCTCTTTGTTGAAAACCTTAGACTATGAAAACATACTGAAAGATAAAAATTTCAACTTCTACTATACTTCTACTGTATAACTTCATTCTATACATTTAGGTGGGAATTATTCAGTTTTGACAGCTTCTGATGCTAAAAGTACTTCAGATACCAAAATACAAATTTAGCTGTATAATTTAATTTAATTTTTAGGGATGTGCTTACAGACAGCAATATCTCTTGTTAATACTATTGAATGCCAAATAATTTTATAATACTTATTTAAAACTCCTAATTACAAGATGGGGTACAATGTTATTTTTCTTTTGTAACACAGGGTTACTGGAAATCTTTATTTTCTTCTTTGAAATGCCAGAAATTCTTCTGTAAAATAAACACATCTTGTCAAAGCTCTCTGGAACTAGTATAATTACCAGAGGCAATCCCTGTGTAAGATCAAAGAACCAAAACAATAATAGGCAACGTGTGACCTCTACCATGTCACCAGAGACCAATTTTTCAACAGGGGGGAATAGTCAATAATCCAGAACAGAAAACATTAAATAACAAGAAATGCTTCCAAAGTACAGCTTGACACATTCATCAAGACTGTCGCAGAGAGATTTCAGAGACTCTATGGTTTCAGAGAATAAACTTCTGGGGATTTGTTACTATAATCATTAAAATTTGCATAAAGCACAAGAGGAAAAAACAAATTTCTTAAACATAGTAAACTTTCAAAAAATTAAACTACTAAAATAAGTTTCTAAATTTTAGTTGATACTTTCAAAAGTGCAGTGGGAAGGGCAAATATAATCATATTTTTCATATGAACACTGACCTGGTTTATTTACCTATTCTCATTTACATTACCTAAGATTATTTAGACCTTAGATCATGGACATTAATCAGAGAAACATAATTAGTAATAACACATTAATGACTTCTAGGCAGTGTGTGTGTGTGTGTGTATTGTTTTGGGTGATGGTAGGCCATTAAATCCAGAAACAGGGTCCCCTTTGTAATGCACGTGGGTGACTAAGAAATTAGAAGGCTTAAAGGAGAGAAAAAGAAATTCCTACTCATAGAAATGACAGTAAATCAGAAGCACATTTAAAATTGACTTTCAAAACACTGCAAGTCAAGTGGCTTTACAATCACTAACATTTGATTGTTTTTCTTGAATGCTACCACCAAACAGCTGCTTCTTTTGAATCTTATATAAGTTGGAGGATTTACAAATGGATCTGAATTACACCATTTATGAAACACATATTCTGCCATAATTCAGAGGCTACTGAAAGAAGATGAGCTCAAAAGAAACAGTGCTGGAAATTCAAAGCAACTTGAACATTCTGTCCTTGTATGGGTTTGTTACTCCTGTGCTCTCCATCTCCCACTCTGTCATCTGCCTGTCTTCTCATCTTCTTATCTTATTAATGTTGTTAATTGCATTTGTCAGTTTTGCCACAATTTCAATGCTACTTAACAGCTGCAGGTTTTCTTTTGTCAATTATCCATCATTACACTTAGGTTTCTAAATTAGCTGTTGAAAAGAGCTTTAACCTTGAGAGGATAGAAAAAGAGCACTCTGCATGCTAAGCCTTACATTTATGAATATGCTCCTATAATAGCAGTAGTAATCACTTTAAAAGGATTGAAAAAACATACATACAAAGTTAATAAATATATTAACTATAACCATAATATTAATTCATAATTTCGTAAGAGAATGTTTCATAAAACCTATTATAACACACTCATAATTTTATCTATTTTCTTTGCTATACATGTTGTAATTTCTTCCTATATATGTATGTGTATATACCGTATAAACTGGAATGACAGATACTAAATCTCTCACTGTCCCCTTTCACTCTCTGCCAGGTGGCTAACACCTTTCAAAGGTATTCATAATCCTGTAAGTGGGTCTCTTGAGGTCATGTACTATTAGAAATGACTTTCACAGCATGAGGATATTTTCCCCCTTCTCCATTTCTTTTTAAAGAGAACATTATTATATTGCTGCTTTTTTTCTCCCCATACTAGGGACTGAGCAGGGTCTCACATATGCTACTCAAGTGCTCTAGAACTGGCCATACAATAGAATAATCTATTCTTGACTGACATTGATTATTTTTATTACTACAAAATGACACGAAACATAAGATCTAAGGCTAACCACCAACTGATACCCCCTTTTACCAGCTATCAACAACAAATTTAAAAACCTGAAAGCTAGAGATAGATGTGCAGCATAGTGGTACATTATATAGATTCATGAGGCCCTGGATTCAAAAACTGTCAGGCAGAAACATACTTAATGTACAGTTTCTTCCCTTTATAAATAAGTTAAACTCAAAGACAACTTTTTAGAGTTAACAAAATTTTGATATTTTAAAGATTTAGTAATAATATCCTATGTTAGGTAAGATCAAAAGCAGGTAGAATAAATTTTAAATTAATGTAGGTGCACTCCTTACCTCTTCCTCCTTGCCCTCCCCCACCCCCTTTCTACTCTAATGAAAGAAAAGGTGGTATTTCACCAGTATGAAATTCTTCACTGAGACAGAACATTAAAATGATAAACATTTTGGAAAGCAAAGTACACTTCAAACCCAAACTGTTCTTTCAGACGTATATTGACTCTTATAGTCCTTGGCAACATTTGGTAAGGATTATCCTTCCATTAGACAAAAGCAAGCATTCCTTAGATAAATCAGGAGTTTTTGCCATGAGACTCATAAAACCTTTTCACAACACAGATTTTCAAGAGAATCCTTTAAGGTTTTAGGAGGCTGCTCCTTTTACTAAGTAACAAAATACACCCCATGGTGTCTTACTGACCCCACTCAGCTGTCCTTTGACCTCTTCAATTGTTGAAGCCTAACTCCAGGGCCCACAGAATTTGCCTCCATATCAAAAAGGCTAATGTTGCTTCCTCCTAGCACCTGGTGAAACAAAATGCAACAGTCTCTTTCTTCTGCCTCCTCCTCTCCCTCTCTGACCATTTTCCAGATGTTCCAGGCCCAAATGTTAAGCCAATACAGGGTTTTGGTATCCTCGTGGTCAGCTTGAAGGAACAAACAGAGACGAGGCTGAAGTGGCAATGACCCTCTTGTTCTTTTTGGCCTCAAAAGGATACAGCAGGCCATAAAAGAGGAAAAGATCTTTGGCCTCCCTTGGAAATGCCAGGCTATTTAAGCACATTATAACTTCCAAAAGGAGAGAGACATCTTGGGTTATATCCCTTCTGATACTCTAGTGTTATCTAAAACAGTAATACTAAATTCTCAATTTTATGCAAGCTCTTAATTTTCTTTGCCATAGGGGGAAATAAGCAGTATCATTTCTTTTTCTTTTCTAAATTGAAATCCTTCTTTAAAAAAAAAGCTTTAATAAATACTTTATAATATACACCAGGAATAGTGATATGTGAAACAAAATTTAAATATATGTGGTTACTAGTATGGTTTGAGTTTTTCTAAACAATCTAGAAGTCTTAGACAATTTGAAAGATAAAAATCTCCAACAAAGAGGAATCAAAAACTGAAATTTTGCTCTCATAATTTGGGTGTACAGGGGAAATATAAGGGGAAATTTTATTGCTGAATAAATTTTGTGGGGCTAGGGAAGTGGGATGGGGAAGAAGTGAAATGAGAGGGGTTTATAGAAATGTTTGTTTAATTAATTTAAGAACCAAACACAGTAGCTTTATTTAAATTCTAAATCTAACTCCTTAAAACAAATCGGATCATGAAAAACTGGAAGTTGGACATACATAATTGTACAATACCTTGGTTTAGTTATTAACATTTTTGAGTCATGTTCATGATTAAGTTCATCAGTCAACACTTCAGGGAGCCAGTTGCCTAGGTGATAGCTTGCTGAAGGTTTTTTCACACCTGTAAAAACATTAAAAAATAAAATATATAATTTTAATTATATATAATACAATATATAATCAAACATTCTGTAGCAAAACATTCTAAATATCTACAAAGTTTTACCCAATCTGTATACATCACAATAGACAAATATACACAGATATTCTTCCCTCCTAAATACTCCCCAAATAATCCTAATTATATATACTCAAAAGCAATTTCTGTTGCTCTTAAGAATAAGTTTGCCTACTCTGTATTTTTTTTAATTGTATTTTATTTTTTTGTGTGAACATACTGTACAGAGGGGTTACAATTACATGGGCAGGATAATGTGTACAGTTCTTATCAAGCATTGCAGCCTCCTCCTTTGTTTACCCTTCACATCCCTTCCCAGCCTCCCCCCCCCACACCTCCCCTACTCTGTATTTTTGACAGGCATTATCCTAATGGTAAAATTCTATAGAATACTTTTAATTTTAGGAATGAAATCAGTGTATGACTTTCTTAGTAAGGAGTTCGGGAATTTTCTAATCCCTGACATCTGGTCAAAATTACTCAAATGTAAAAAATTGAAACTTAAGTAATACTGATAGGAATTTTTTATTTCTTGAAACTGTTCCTTTTATAATTTTAAGAAAAGATGCTTAAAGTGGGGAAAGAGCTAGGGCTCTATCTATCCCTTGAGCCACAGCTCTACTTCTGGCTTTTTAGTAGTTAATTGGGAATAAAGAGTCTGACGGATTTTTCCTGCCCGGGCTAGCTTCGAACTTCGACCTTAGCCTCCTAAGTAGCCAGGACTTCAGACATGAGTCACCAGTGCCAGGCTTATTCTTTTTGTTTTGTTTTGTTTTTGTCGGTCGTGGGGCCTGAACTCTGGGCCTCAGCGCTGTCCCTGAGGTCTTCAGCTCAAGGCTAGCACTCAATCACTTGAGCTACAGCGCCACTTCCCAGGCTTATTCTTAACCCTTTTAAATGTATTTCTAGAAGATAGTAATTTAACTATAATTATATATTACTGGTTGAAAATTATAGTGTGCCCATTATTCTCTTTGTGTAGTAGATTATGGTCAATATAAACTATTACATGAAAATATAGGAAATGAAGTTGTAAGTCAGGAAGTAAATGAAGATTATTTCTCATTAAAAAGTTTACATATAACTCAGAAGTATATCTTGCTCTTTGTTACTGGGTCTAAAAAGAAAACAAAGAGGATTTTTCTAAGAATGCATTCATTTCAATACAAATATTTATAGCAATGAAAATATCTGAAGTAATGTTCACACACCATGTTTTCTAAATGATTGGTTTTGATTTTAGTTTCCTTTTTAGGCCAAGTTGAAAGACAGAGGGAGAGAGTAAAGAGCCACATCAGCTCTTGTAATAAAAACACTTGTCTTACCTCTCTCATTCTTCCAAGAATATTTTCAGGCAAAATAATAGTTAAAAATGCAGGACCAATACTTTCAAACTTACATTTTTCCCACTCCCACACATACAAATAGACATCAGGAAATTGCTACCTTTACCCAACCCAAGATAACCCCATATGGTCAGCAAGGTCAAACTGCATTACGGCCAATGAAAACTATATGACTCCACAAGGACCTTAATGATTTTTTTTTAAAGGTCAGTAATCCAATTCCAATAGCTTTGGAGTCTAAAATTGCTAATTTTTAGCCACGTGCTGCACACTTCACCTGCTAGTAATGACATTTCTGTATTTTCTTCTAATTACACTCAAAGCTAAGACCTTTGCCCTGGGCCACAGACCTCCATTCATGCTGCACACATTCTCTTAAACGACCTGATCCTTTGTTGTCACTCTTCCTCTTTCATCTATTATTTACACCCATAGAGAAGGAAGATACTCTACCATTTGTGTCGCTTAAAGCTTCTAATCATCTTAATTTCTTTACCTTTCAACCTATGATCTTTTTTTGTAGATGAATGCCAAAAAGTTTGACAAAGTCATTTTTATTAAAATTACATCACCCTCCATTCCCGCCCCCCCTCTTTATTTCCCAGCCAGGCTTCTTTCCTGTCCTCATTTTACACAGGACACACTTTGTATCAGCCAGCATTTATAAATTTTGAACATAGCTAACAAAATGAATTCAATACAAATCCCCAACTTTTTCTGTCAGATGAATAAAAATTGTACATTCTTTTAAACCAAAGAGCCCATTAAATGAAATTGGAGATTATTTTAAATGACTTAAAATCTGTCCCAGCCTCATTTAAGCATAAGTATAGGATGGTCAGGACTATTTCACAAAAACACCAAGAATATTCAGAACATAGTAAGAATGTGAGTTACATGGCCCAAACTTTTCAAACATTTTAAAATTTACAACTGCCTGGCTGCTTACAGGAAAAGAAAAGAAAAGAAAAAGAAAAGGAGAAAATACAATAGAAACATCTAAACGTTCAATTCTTAATTAATATTGAAAAGATCACTGATTCCCCAAAAAGCAAAACTCTCATACAAAACCTTCTCCTGACACTCTTCCTAGACTTTTAAAAAAGTATCCGAACACATTTTACAAAGTCAAAACACAGAATTGTTTACCATGATGCAGGTGTCTCCCTCAGATCACCACAATCACCAAAGATTCTGATTTCCAAGATGTTTATAAAATGACATCTGATCCATCTTTGCTTGCTTCTCCTATTGCTCAGCTTACTCTTGATTTCTAACAGTGTTTCCTGTTGTCTGTCCCCTCCACAGACCCTGCAACCCCTTGTCTTTTCTTATTTTCACCATTTGCTTCAACCAGCAGTTCACTGGAGACCCATCCATCTTGTAATGCCTAAAGTGACAGATGCTCTCAGGGACGACCACACTGCTGAGTGAACAAAAGATAACATCACCTCCAGGAACTCCAGAGAGAAATACAACTGCAACCTTAAGACAGGGGCTGACTTGACAGACATTGGACCATAAACCTCTTCTAAGGGAAAAAGAAAACAATTGCCACACACACAAAAAAAATCTGACACAATCAAAGGCAGAAAAGAGTGATTATTTGTGGATTGCCTTTTCACTCTGTAACTCACTTCCCCATCCCCCAACGCTATTATATAGGGGCAATTCACTTGCCAAGAGGCAAGAGAAGTTCTTGGGAAAAGAAGCCTTTTTCAAGTATCTTCTTTTATTCAACAATATTCAAAGTGAAATTCATTCCCATGTGTGTTTCAGGAAATCTAAGACTTGCATTCAGTTTGACCTGTTTGGTTTGCATAAAGCAATCTGAACTCAGAAACGCTGACTCAGTTCCACTGCTGGAAAAGTCGCATGCATACTTTGCAAATTAAAAACACATTAAACACATTAGAAATTAAAAAGTTACACGTGACACAATATCAACAATATGTGTAGCTCATAAAAATGCCCATCATTCATTCATCAGGCAACCTCCAACTTATGTTAAAAAAGACAGTTAACGAAAGGATTCTGGGAAGGGCTGCAGAGCCCTTCTAACAAAGGAAAGGTCATATGAACATCTCCCAGCAACAAAACTAATGACAGACAAGCTGTAGATGCAAGGGACTCTGCCTGATGCTAGCTACAATTTGAGGGTTTGTTGTGTTTCAAGCATCTTATTTAAAATCATGACACAGAAGTAGTAAATAAACATCTCTATCATTTAGATATTGTAAAGTAAAGAGAAAATTCTGAAGAACTAAAAAGCAAAAACCAACCTAGAGGTTCAATTAAGAATACTATGTATGATCAATGTCAATTATGGAGATTAACAACCGGTTTCTGTAATAGACATCAAGTGGATAGAGGTAAGCCTCTGTTGCAGGCAAATACATTATCATTCTAAAAAAGGGAAAGTAATACAAATATGTCTCACCTAAATAGCCAATGGGCTTTCCCTTCAACAATATTTCTAGGAAACATGAGCATTTAATTGTGTAGTAAAGATATTTTAATTTTTCTTAAAGTTTCTTGTTCACAATGCCCTTAAGATATAATTATGTTTCTTTGGAATTCCTAATGATTCCTCTCATCCAAATTTCCCCAAAATGTAAACATTTAAATGTATTTTATATTCTGTGATTTGGAGGATAAAAGAAAAAAATTTAACTCCAGAAATCAATGTAGCTCTTCTTACTTAAACATTTTTATGGCTTCCTTATTTCCTCAAACACTTCATTTAACCCTGCAAATAATAGTGTAATATTTCATAATCTGAGAATTTTGTTGTTGTTGTTTTTTAAAAAAAAACCAATGCAATTGGTAAAACAATGCATACGAAACAAATAAATGAGTTTGTTCTAATACGGACTTGATCTTTAATGGAAGACTTTCACACATGCTGGCCCAAAATAATTTCGCCCCAAACCACTGAACCAAAAGTAGTACATCTTAGTTCAATACTCAAACTTTGGCATTAATACCAAGAGAGATGTGACCTTAAAATGACAGCTCCATTACAGAAGGCTCAGAAAAAAACACAATTAAATTATCTACTTCGAAACACAATAAGATCAATATGCATGCAGGAAAAGTACACTCCCAAGGAAAGTTCTTATTGCCTGACTGATCAAAAACAAAACAAAACTTTTCTTTCTATTTTTTTTTAAGGGCCTCTTCCAGATCACAGCGCCAGAAATCCACACAGGAAAAAAATCCATCAAAATGAAACCCTAAAAGCAGTTACCCTTCACCATCCTATTTGCACTTCAAAACCCTGTTAGCCCTTCAGTTAAATCCCAGGGTTGAACCATTTCAATAATAAGAGAGGTGGCCAGCAGTGATTTATCTCCCATTTGGCTTCTGGACAGAATTGTAACTTCTAGGAAGCCTCTCTTCCCTGACTGGAACCCTTTCCTCAAGTCTGCTCCTTCAGTTTGTGTAGCCTTGGATCTGGAATACTTTTCAAACAACTGGTAGGTTCCTTCCAATCAGAGGCAAGAGTGGTCTGTAACTCAAGATTTGGGTGCATTCTCTTGGCAATGATTTGACAAAATGGAATGCTAGTAAGTTATCAGAGGATTGCAAATATTA